GCTGCACCGTTACGGCGATGTTCAAAAGACTTCATTTTGTTCTTTTTTGGTGTCGTTTGCAGAATCCAGTCAGATGTGGTTATTCTAAAACGTCTGTATGTGTTTATATTTCGAACAAAGGCTACAACAGTTATTAAACCAGAAAAAAATAGATTTTCACATGTGTAGGTATCAATCAGTCAATTTAAAGATTGAATTAAATTCATTGGTGCCTTCTTAAATATGAAGTCGATTTTTTTACTTAATTCAAAATGGAGTGAATGCTTAGGATTGGGTGGCTATTTTACCGCCATTTTTTAAATATTCTGCTAGTTCCAAAATAATTTAAAAATATATAAAATATGGTTCATTTAGTGTACTGGCTGGTTTATTGTATTAAGGGCAGGGCCATTTTTCTCACCAGAGACGATAGAAATTTTGCGTAGCAGCAATGCGAATTGATCTCTTTAGGTTTTATATAACAAATTGCCCTGAACATACCCATACCCGCTTAATTTATGTGGATAAATATTATCCACATATTATATTAAGCGCGTATAGGCATACATACATACGATTTAAGGTGGTGAGAAAGGTATAAATTATGCGCAAATTGCAAGTGACCGCGTTTTGTTACAAGCTATTAGGTAGTGACAGCTTGTGGCATTAAATATAGGAATAACCAAAGGAATATAAATGCTTCGTGGTATCGAATATTAGAAATGTTCTTGAAGAGCATCAAATGACAGTGTTCGACAGGTTCGTAGAGCTATAAAATTTATTGACCATAAAGTGTATTAGAAAATGTATCAAAGTTATTTCTTATCAGGTTTTTCATACTCTTTGAAATAGTTGTAATTAAGTCTGAAAAATTTCACTGATGTTTTATGATTCAAAATTATTAAAACTACTAAGATGGGCTTATAGATTAAGATACAAGAAGTTTTATACAAAAAAAGAGGAGAAATTGTTTAGGGAAAGTTGCTAGTAGTCTCCTAAAAAGTACATTGAAATCTTGTTAAATTCCGTTCATTTCATTTCATTCAATTTCATCCCGGAATCATTCAAGGTGATTTTAAAACAACTTTTTTCTTTTCGCTCCATTTCACTTTTTAGACAAGAGATATCTACGGCTTTTTTTAAACAAAAATAAAATACTGTGCAGTATGCTGTGAAACTTTCGCCTTTTCTGTATTAGAAAAATGAATCTACTACATACTGTCAAACTGTCAACTTCTACTGAATGCAAACAATAAAACCAATTTTAAAATTAAATGGAATATGTACCTACATAAATGATGGGGATATTATTAACACTAAATAATTATCTTTGCTTGAATCTAGTAAAAATCGACCGGCCTATGAGGATAGTTTGAATAGATTGTGTAGTATGTTACTATCACGAAAAGCAGCTTTCTTCATATTATCGTAGGATTTATTGACGTGCGGCTTAAAATAATAAACAAATAATACATAACACACTATAGGACGTATCTGTAATAATGGTTGAAAATATAATATAATAACTCTTTATCCAAATATATTAAATTAGTTAGTAAATTACAAGTAAATTGTAAATTATAAGTAAAAATTTATAAAAGAATGTAGTGTAGCACTAAGTTGTGTATGTATCTAATACATTGTTTATATGGAAAAGGATTTGTAATAATTACTGTCTAAGCTAATTTAGGACCCAATTTTGTCTGTGATAAATGAGATCATAAGGAATAAGGATCTCACGAGTAGTACCGGAAAAGAATAAAGTAGAACACATTTTAATAAACAATGCAATGCTTTTGACTAACCATTGTGGAAGTAGTTGAAGTCCAAAATTAAGTTTTATCCAAGAATACTATCCAATCATCTGAAATAACATTCACACATAGAATCCAATGAGTAGTTGAAAAAGTCTGACACTAACAACAAATCACATGATCCTCTAGTAGTGCAATAGCTACAATAGCTTTTATTGTTTCCACACAGGAATTGGATTCAAGTATAAAAAGCATACAAGGCTCAGTGTACCCATTTTGTAGTATTGATGCAGGCTGTTATCACTTAAAAGATGGAAATCTACATTCTAAGCTTATATTCTAAGGTTTGATTTTCTCATACAGATATTCTATTGTTGCACTCTTGTCCAATTTTCAACATTCGGAATGTTAATCTCCCAATTTCATAATTCAAAATATGTATTAAAGGGAGTGTAATGTATTTTTAGATTAAACTTCCATAGCTAATGTATTTTTACTTTGATGGTTTAGATGTGTACCAGATAGAGCTAGGACATTTGATTTTTTGGTAGTGCAGAAATAAAAAAAAATATATATTAAGATTAACCAAGGGTTACAAAAAAGTGAACTGTAACAAATAAGTAACTTTAAACACTTTAAAATAATATTATGGTAAGTTGACATAAATACACAGCAAAGATAGTAAGTAGATAGGAAGTGTAGTAAGCAAATTAAGATTATCAACGAAAAAGAAAATTGGGAATTATATTGTCTATAAAATACACCCACTGTGTGAGTCTGTTGGTGTGTGTGTGTGTGTGTGTGTGTGTGTGTGTGTGTGTGTGCGTGTGCGTGTGTGTGTGTGTGTGTGTGTATACACTAGACCCATGAGATCTGACAAGACCTAGGCTGGAGAGATGGAATAGCCATAAAACTAATGATTTTGGCACCAGCCTCATCTCCGAAGGTAGGTGGTGACATTCATGTAGTAATATCAATGAACTCTGGTAAACATTTGATATTGAGTGGGTTATGAGATCATCTCAGCATCTATAGCCATAAAAAATATACACCTAATTGTAAGATGTTCACATGACAGTGCTAGGGAATGTAAAAACTCAAAAGTGCTGCTAACAGTGCATAACCATAAGGAACCTCATGTGAAGAATGTTATTTTAAATTATAAACCTTGAAAATTCTAAATCTGTCATATACGCTCATTATAAACTTTATTACACCAAGAATTTCGGACTTCTTTCAATTACATTTTTGATAGAAGGAAATAAACAATACAAATATGATCACTGAATTACAATTTTACTCTACAGGTGAAATTTTTTCACCCTAAGTAAATTGATCACGATGATTGACATCATGATTATGCCAATTAATTTAGTGTAATTGAAACTTTCAAAATGACATTGACGTATGATGATTTACAATAACATAATAAAAAAAAAAAACAATATGATGACATCGGTAGTAAATGCTCCGACTGTTATATAAAATAGAGACAAATTTAAACTATAAATTATACTAAATTTTTAATAATTTCAGTACTACTTATTTATTTAAAGAAATAAATACCAGTTTCTTCCCTTTTTCCTGAGTAATAAACTTTTATTCTTAAAATTAAATTCGATAAAAACCATACGTGATAATGAAAAACTGCTCCGGGTGTTCGCGACTGCGCGCAACTTATTGATCGACGTTCGAAACCGAAACAAGAGCCTCAATATCCAAATATGTACGCATAACTTAGGTAGGGACATTGTTAGTAAACTCCTCGTTAGTTTTCCATAGTCAAATAAAACATATTTTATATATAGGTACTTAAATGAATTAAGAACAACAGTAATATGTAATTGAAACGATTCTATTATTATTATGAATAGCTATAACTATTTTGTCCCCAGTCAGATGGTACCTTGTAAGTTTTTATTATAATTATGTTATTTCTGCCTGCAGCGGTAATAAAGATATAATATTAACATAATGCTTAGGAACGCTATAATAGAACCTAGTCTACAACAAAATTACACCATCATCGATGACTATTCATATGTGGCAAAATGGTCTGTAAATACGCATTATGAATTCAGCATGATACAGATCCCGATCCTGCAGACCGAATGGTAAACAGTCGACGTCGCCCAGAACATGTCATATCGGATCCTCCCGATCCACTAACGGTGTTTTTAGAGTACCCCAAGCATCGGTCATCGTTCTCGTCGGACCCATCGCTTGCAGCGAAGGGCTCGGCGAGTAAATTAACCCACAGACACAGCCCACTGAGTTTCTTGCCGTATCTTCTCAATGGGCCGCGTTTCCGATCCGGTGGTAAATTCTGAGAAGCACGGCTCTTGCTAGGGTTCGTGTTAGCAACAGCGTCAGGTTTAAGCTCCGTCAGCTCTGAGCTTAACTACTCGCCCACTGACGCTGTTATGGTCTCTCAAGAAGACCATCCGTTTAGGTAGGGACAAAAAAAATGATACAGATTATGAATGAACTCTCCGGTGGCGGGTAGTGGCCGAGAGTTCATTTTTTATTATACCCCATATCGGTCTATTTCATGCCAATTTAAACTTCGTTTTTTCACATTATGTTCACTTAAAATGATTTAAGATGGAGCAATTTGAGTTTTCAATATCCCATGACTTTTTTTTTTCTTGAGATATCAGTTCTAAGGTCTTAGTATAGTTACAACGGCTGCCTTTCAAACCGAAAAGCATTATTGCTTCACGGCACAAAAAGGCAGAGTGGTGGTACCTTTGCTTTTTACTTAAAAGTTTGAAACTCAAAAGAAATCAGAAAGTGCAAGATGAATCTTGGCACTGGCCTACGTCAGCAGGTTGCCCCAGTATCCTTGGTTACTCATTAGAAATGCAGGTCCAAGATGACCTTCTCGCATTTTCTTATCTTTTAACATGACACCACACATTGAAAATGCATTTACTCAGTGACGGAAGATGAACATTGAGGAAAAGACGTTTCTCTGCTACCTCCCATCGCCTATTTCGAGAGTGGAATTACAGTACTCTTGCTGCAGTCCTTGCTTTGCTTGTTGATGTCAAACAACATAGTTTGATGGGCAGCAGCTGTCTTTGAACAGTGAAGGTGTGCTTTGTCATATTTACATCGGAGACACAATGGGCCAATCTGTCATCAGCTGCTGCGGATGAAAGCGGTTACCTTAGTGCTACCTTATTCATAGTTGTATTATATTATGATATATAATCACTTAAGACTAGTTAATCGGAATGAAAATTTCAAAATTAATTAAAAATGGATGGTAATCAATAGATTTATTATAAATTTTCAATATAATTGCTTGTAATATGTGTAACAGCAAAAACTGCTGACAGTATTGTTATCATAAATATTGCTCTGAAGTACCTGAAAGAAAATTATCACATTAATTACCATTTTTCTAGTTATGTTTTCTTGTTATACCTATTAAATTCTCACCAAGTAAACTTTGATTTTCTTAAGACTTTAATAATACTCTCTGTCTGATTCCTGGTGTTTGTAAGATCACCAGAATTATCAATAACAAAGTGTGATTTGGCAACCTTTTCATGAAGTGGCATTTGACTATTAATTCTCTTTCTGGCTACTATTTCAGAGAAGTCATTCCTTTTGTATAAACGTTCAAGCTGCTGGTGATCCTCACTGTAAAGTAAAATTAAATTAAATACTTCTGAAAGGACTAATCCTATTCCTTTAGTACATTATCTGAGTGATTTTCATACCAAACAACAGTAATAATTTTATGCATGAATGTCAATAATTTTCCTGTTTCAAAAAGGAGAGGTACTTCCATCACAATATAAGTATGACCAGTGAAAAAGAATGAAAATGCAATTCTTATCATTGCGCTTTGTATCCTTGGATGTGTGATAGCATTAAGTTTACGTCGTTTTTCTATATCATCAAAAACAATTTCGCCAAGTTTTAATCTGTTAACTCTTCCATCAGGGAACAGAACTCCATGTCCAAAATACTGCTTAACCTCAAGCCAAGCTTTTGTGCCAGGTTCTAAAACTATAAAGACAAATGTTTATTGATTATCTTATCCTTTAAAGTTTATATTAAATTTAATTATAAATTTGTGATGACGAAAAAATTGTAAACATTACTGTCAATCCACTGCTAGACCATTATTATCATGCACTGAATCTTCTGGTCTTGGTCTGTACAATTGAAACTTTTCCTAAAATTCATAGTATGTACAGAATGGGAAATGTGTCAGTGATTGCTTAGAATTTTTCTCACTTTACTAATTATGTATTTGTATTAACATGTAATAATGAACATGTATTAACTTAAATTGTTAGCTCGATAGCATGAGCGTTGATTGAGTTAAAGCAATTAGTTAAAAAAGGATAATGTTGTAGCTGTAATAAATTATACCTTTTCGAGCAACTTCATCGGCATCTATTACGGCAATTCCGTGTTCTTTAAATATGGAGAGCACTGTGCTCTTGCCTGTTGCGAGGCCACCAGTCAGTCCAACAATGAACATATTTCTTTCTTGCCTTACATTCACAAACACCTTGGGAAATTTATTGTTTTAGAATGTATTAAATTTGTTGAGACTGGGTTTGTTTCTTGTACAGAATGCATTACATTAAATCAGAATACTTCAACGACAGAAAAAAAATCTGATTCATCTACACGGCAAACAACAAACTTGAACAAATAGACTATTAATGTAATGTACGAACGTGAACTAACTGCATTTTAATTTCAAATTAATGCAAATACAATGTCATCATTCATTTAAAATTATGTAGGCACCAATGCAAACCGAGAGAAAACGAAACTAAAAACAAAGTAAATGTCAATTGTCAACAATATTTTATTTCTATATTTTAAGGACTGGATACGAGTTCTTTAAGCCAAATCGACCATAGACAATAAACTTAAACATTTATCCTCGTGCTGGACAAATGCTGCATTTAATAAACCATTAATTCCAGATAAATACCTCATAGGCAAACTATTTTGAATACCATGAGTAAGTTTGGGTAAGAGTTTTTCAAGAGGTAAGTTGGGTAAAGAGGTAGTTTATAAGAACTTAGTTGTGGTCGACCTGTAAAGTATTACCTTAGAAGAGCCAGTGTTGACCCGATAAGAATAAAATATTTTGGATGATGGTTTTTGTACCTATCATGCTTAGGCCAAAAATTTTTGAATAAATGTAAAGTATACTACACTTAATCACCACCTTTACTTTGTTTAGGAAGTGAAACATTGTTTATTTTTGGAAAATGGAAATAAAATGGCATGATACAAAATACACCCTTCAGTAAAAATTATGGAAATTTACCGAACCCTCAATACATTTTTGGAAGAACCCGAGAAACAACCTCCTGTCATTTTGTTTCGTTTCTCCCACTTACGGACTTTCACATATATTTAACAGTTAATATGCCACGGTATTCACATTTCAACACTGGAAGTAACACCGCAACAGCAAAATAAATAAATTCACAGAACTACCGTTTGAAACCTCTAGTCCAATTAGTCTATCAAGCATACACTAGCATAGAGTAGAGAGTTCTGCAGCACATTTTGGAGCACCATCTTAGCAGCAGGTCATAGGAGCATTGTACATACAGAACACCTAACAATAGCGAGCGACTTAACACCCGGATGCTACTCTTACATCTTCTGCATAAATAACATTGAATGTTAAGCAATTATCACATTTTAGTAAGTCAGTCAGCTTTAGGTTTATAAATTTCCAACAATATCTTACCTACCCGAAAAAAAAAAATGAACGTTCAAGGTAAAAAAAGAGCTATTAAAATTCATGATATTTTACATATAACGGGAAACATGACACTGTTTCTTAAACTTAACTCACCAGCTTGTTCAAACAATTGTTTATAAGTCTCAATTTTATCACAGTTTTTCATTTCATCAAATTATTTTTAGTCAGTTGAAGAATTAAAGGAGTAATACAAATTTTATGAAGCACTTATCTCTCCAATTGGGCAAGTACTATTATATTTAAACGACGTTTTTATCGTAGTTTAGAAAACTTCGAAATGTATGGCAAACAGGTACACTTATATTTTGAGGTTTCTGTGCTTATTTTCTAGCATAGCGATATATCCATAGCACGATTGGGCGATTATATTATTATGACAGCGTTTTTAGTAAACTTGCTTATAAAAATCATCATAAGTAAGAGACATTTTTTTCGCTAAAAAGACATGAATTTATTTATCATTTCAAAATTATTACAGCAAATTATGTTTCCAGTGCTATAAACAGTGCAAACCATTTTCCATAAAGATTTGAGACCGGGTAATGTGCCCACCCTTCTTTTATTACATTCGAAGGTTAAGAAACATGGTGTCATGCATAGACGCGTCCGTAAATTCATGCATAACATTTTCCATTTGTGTTAAATTGGTAATATTTACATTGATTTTTTTTCAGCTATGGGAAATGTTACCACAAAACTTATTGTATAGCGTCAGCAGATTCTCACACACGTTCGGATGGACAAATTTTATGTTGTGTTCTCTGCCAATTTGCGCACTGAACCTAATATGAGAATAATCCCGAATGCTAATAGGAATATGCCTTAGATAGCTTCTGCTGTCGTAAGTTTTTTGCCATTATGAGTAAGTACATTGTCTAATGACAAAACGCCCGGTGTATCCACGCTTATTAATCACGATGCGGAATGAAATATGTAGGTAGGTACGCAGGTACTTCTCTATCCAAACCTTACGACAGCAGTTTGTATTTCGAGAATGAATCTACTACTAGAAAGGAATCGCGAGCTGCAGAGAAAATCCTGTGGGATCATCAGTTGTCATTGGCTAAAGGGGTAGCGAGTGCACAATTTTTCTTACCTAGCCTAGATGAGTAGCTACGGGAGCCAATAGACACGACAATGTGAATGCCGCTTATCACCTTGAAAATGAAGTTGAAGTCTCGATAGTTATTGCCTGTCGACTATCCTAGCATTGAGATATAAATATTTTAAGTTACCCTTCAAACCGAAACGCATGAGTACTTCACAGCAGAAATTAGGTGGATGGTACTAGCGGGTACGGACTCACAACCTAGCACCACCGCAAGCAATTACGCAATTATGAATATTTTTTACAGTTTCATTTCAACGTATAATACTAAAAATTGGTATGTAGCTGCAAGTGAATAAATTTTAGTGATAATGTAACGAATAATTCTTTCTTCATTTGCTTATCAACAAATAGGGCTATTTTGAATTTGAACACTTTGTAGTACAAAGTCCGGTCTGTTGATTTTCATATTTGTCGTTGAGCCGGTTTTGTTTTTAAACCCTGATATTCACCCGTTCAATTGCATGATAAGTTGCAGAAGATATTTATCTAGCAAGAACGAATCCCAGCATATAAAATGACTATGATAAGAATATTTAAACTAGTGCACTTTGAAAACCTCAATAAGGGGATGCTTGCTAAGAAATACGCATAACATATTTTTGGCTTTGACTGAATAATGATTAATTATTTCAGTCATTATTAAAAAAACAATAATCCTGGTGTGTAACAACGGAAATTTTGTGGAACGGAACAAAGGAAAAAGTTACATAATTGTGCAGTCACCAAGAAGACTTAAAATTAGCGTAACATCTATTTTAAATTGATAGAGTGATTATTTTTTCAATGAAAAGTATTTGTTGGTAAAATAAATAAAAGAATATTTTTTTCATGCGGGTTGAACATACTTCGAAGTAGAATCGTACGTTTGATCACGAATGCACTATTTCAACGGCCAAAGAACAGAGACACGGCAGGATAGCCATGATTCCAAATTTACATTTTATTTCATTAAGTATGCCGCCAAATTATTAAATAGCATTTCTTTTTTATTGCTTACGTGTGTGGACGAGCTCACAGCCCACCTGGTGTTAAGTGATTACTGGAGCCCATATCTACAACGTAAATGCGCCACCCACCTTGAGATATAAGTTGTAAGGTCTCAGTATAGCTACAACGGCTGCCCCGCCTTTAAAACCGAAACGTATTATTGCTTCACAGAAATAGGCAGGGTGGTGGTACCTACCCGTAACTTGAAACTATTACTGTAATCGTAATGGTTTTATTTAATATTTTTTGTAATTTTTTTGATTTTTCTTTGACCGGTGGCCGCGCTGATGGCTATAGACATCAAAAACGTAAATTTCACCACCCACCTTGAAACATGAGTTTTACAGTACAATGGCTATTCCACCCTTCAAACCGAAACACATACTGCTTCACAGCAAAAATAGGTAGGACAGTGGTACCTACAGACAAAACTCCGTACCGCCAGTAATTACGCATTTTTTTTTTCATCATGATAATCGCCTTACCGTTGCCGCCGCTGACTACTCCCCGAATCCTGATTACGCAGGAGCCAGTCACCGTCGACGGCCTAGACACGTCCTTACGGATCCATCAGATCCAATAACCTATGCATTAGACGCCTTCAGCTCTAACACTAGGAGTAGGCTTAGGGACCTCGGTAACCATACTCGTCGAACTCGACAAAGAGTTCGCCGTGCAACGTAACCCATGAATCAGCTCGCTGAGTTTCTCGCCCGATCTTCTCAGCGGGTCGCGATTCCGATCCGGTAGTACTTAGATTTATTCGCGAAGCAGCTACTCTTGAGCTGTTAGGTCTCCTTCGGAGGCGCTTGGGTAGCTGTTAGCAAATCCCACCCCTACTGGCTGAGCCTTTGCTCGCCCACCTGTCCTGGTGAAACTGGAAAGGCCTCCGGGCCACCAGTAATCCATCACTCATAAAAAAAAATAAAAAAAAAATTTGCGATTTTGATTTTTATTATTCCTTCATCGTGGATTAGCTTCGTTTTGGATTATTTTGCGAAATAGTCGGGCAGAAGTATGTACAAGGATAGTTTTAGTGACGTAATAACTACCGGGAACAATACGTGGATACAGAGAGACAAAGCGTGGAGGAGTAAGGTTGTCGAGAGTGAAATTCCAATCAAGACACAGAGAAGGTGAATGACCTTCGACCTGCGGGCGAGCTTTTACATTTCGTAATCAAATGTTTGACAAATAAAAAAAAATAGTTTTAACAATTCAGAATTGATGAAAAACGAGCAAGAGAGTAGCAAATTAAATAAATTTTTAAACTTTTTTGAATCGTTTAAATAAAATAAAAATAAAAATTCATGAATATTACTTGAGTATTTTTAAAAAAAAGAAGATAAATAAAGATTTTTTTCATATGATTAATTTCTAATTTCTATTCAGTAAAGCCTGCTCAGGAATAGCAAAGTAATTCTCAAAAACGAAACCAAGCGAATCACCAGTTTTATGATCACCCTCTACCTTTTAAAAATGATTTCGAATGAGGCGCAGAGTGAATTGGACAAAAATTGGGCGGAGTACAAGTGAGGGCGGGGCGTCGTGCTCGGCCCTCCCGTTACCATTTCCTGGTTCAGACCACAATTGACAGCCGCGGCATTAGTATGCCTTGCCATTCGAACGGAAAATGTGAATGAGAATTTCGTAAAATAAGACCGACAAAATGTTCGATATGGACGGTGTGAGTGGCATCAGATGCCAAGTGATTGACAATAGCAGTGCTGTGCCCGTCGCCGTAGGTGGATCTCCGACATCCGCAAATGGATCCGACGTGTTCTTATATGACGACTCCTCAATGTCCGACGGCAGCCTATATGCTAGTGATCAGGAAAATCATTCTACGCCTAGAAGAAGGTAAATAAAACGAAATCATTTTCTTGTTTGATTTTTATATAATCTCGTAAAAAAAAACTGTAGAATATCATTTGCATTACAGCGAATATTTTTGTGTTCAATTATAGCTTATTGTTTTATGAAATATTTTTTGAGTGAGTAAATACTTGATTATACAACCTAATCTTTTAAACGAAGCATAGTTTATTTGTATGTTGAAGAATGTTTGAAAATGCAGATTAAATCAAATCTACCCATCGAATTCCGAAATATTAATACGTAAACAAAGTGCATCGTAATACAAAATATTTACCTACAACCGGAGAATCTCGAGATCAATAAATGGTTGGCTCTGCATTAAAGTACCTACATTACATTATTATTGCATTATTCGATCTTTGGTTCGCTCCAATGAAACTAGGATAATATTTGCAAAGAATCAAAGCTTAATTTCATTTTTATTTAGATCAGAATACCGGCGCGTTCACAAGCGACGCTCGCGTTGTCCGCAGCAACAAATCCAACAGAGGCAAGCCGCGAATCTTCGGGAAAGACGTCGAATGCAATCCATTAACGACGCTTTTGAAGGTTTAAGAGCACACATTCCAACATTGCCTTATGAGAAACGTCTGTCCAAAGTCGATACCTTGAAGCTTGCGATCGGATACATCAGTTTTCTTGGAGAATTAGTAAGTGACCTGCAATACGTCTTAGCGATGATCCAATCAAGAAAAGTTGTAACTATACTTGAGACCTTAGAACTTATATCTCAAGGTGGGTTGCGCATTTACGTTGTAGATGTTTATGGGCTCCAGTAACCACTTAACACCAGGTGGGCTGTGAGCTCGCCCACCCATCTAAGCAATAAAAAAAAAGTTTCTTGAGTGGGACGTAAGATAAAAATATATATAAATAATATATGAAGCGAGGCAATTTATACAATTATCACTTTTAACTAGGACTTTAACCGGGATGTAATCATAAGGATATTGTGTGACGCTCACCTTTTTAGTAGTGCGATTATTGCTAAGGAAGAATATTTTTGCTTAAACATGCGTCTGCTTTTTTAACATAAAATTTCTTAATATACCGCAACCGTGACATAATTTGTACGTTAACAATTTGAGATTGTTTGTCTCAAAAACAATCTATACTACGTAAATAATGGTAGTATAGGTAAACTGAAATGCTTCAGATGCAAACAGCTTTCTTTGTGATCTGGGTAGTATTTTTTTATTAATCGTTACGTCATTCAGAAATTTTAGAGCTTAGCTCTACTTTGTAACACACGTTGTGTTATGTAATACGTTATTGTTATATTAGTAAGAAAAAGTAAAAATACAAAAAAAATCAACAGTATTATGTACCCTACTGCTTATCATCTAAGATGTTTTTCCAACGAACACGTCAATGAATAATTTACTCACCTAACTCAGTAGCTTTTTTAACTTATTAATAAATAGCTTTATATTATTTATCGGGCACTTGCAAATTTTACGTTAACTTTTTATTTTTTAAGTTTATGACTTTTATTTCATATTACTAACGAATATAAAATATGCACTGAATTTTATATGAAATATTTTTATATACCCACAAACCAAAGACAACTAAATCATAAAAAATGAAATGAAGTTTAGTAACCATTTTCGCAAATAACATTCCATAATTATATATATTATAGCACAGCTCACATACTTTAAACAACTACCTTCAAAGAAGTATCTACATAGATGAACAAAAATATTATTGTTTTTGTATTACCTATATTTCCTCATTTAATCAATACTTGCTGCCGCGCAAATCACTTAATTCACATACGTATTGTAGGTAGTCTTTTAACTTCATTAATACCCAAAACAGTTTGAGTATGGTGTTTGATTAATGGTTTTTGGGATAGGTACGGGCTGATCGCAATTCATCCGACGGGTTGTTGTCAGGTGTGGGCAACACTCAGAATAAAGAAGAACAAAAGAAAATCATTATTAGAGGTATTTTCACACCTTTTTTTTGCTTAAGCTTTGACAAGCAATAGTGTTTTGTGACGAGTTCAGAAAAAACAAAGCATTTTTATATTTAATAAATTTATTATTCCGTATACTTACCACCATACGGTTTAAGAGAACTCAATTTTTTTTAACATAATAAAAAATAATCTCGAGAGCATCTACTTAGCTACTTTTAAATAATAGCAAACAGTTATATCAGTGAATAGCACTAGTAAGTCGAAATATAAGTAATGTATTTACGTAAACCTTAATCAGAAGATTCAATATGTAAATCTGAACTTAGCTTTTAAGCCACAAAGCAATGGGAATTTTTCATTTCATAGCAAAAATAAAAACGTTTTAACTTTACAAGAAAGCGTGGCTGATTGACAAAATTTGAACACATTATTAGCCTTAGCAAATATTGATCGGTCATCTATAATAGTTAAATAATTTAATAAAAACACAAGCGCGACCTTTGATACTTATTTAATTTTATTTTATCTTAACTCAGAACACTTGTTTAAACACATACATATTATGTACCGAATTAACACTGTTAATTCAAGACATTCGTATTCGTATTAATCAACCAAAATTCTGTTATCCATTCTTAATTCTTGAATTCTGGCGGTGGGAGGTGCTGTGAGCTTGAAGATATATACAGCTTAGCCCAGTGATTCTCAACCACTGTGCCGAGGCACTTTTGTGTGCCGCCAAATTTCAAAAGTGTGCCGCCAAATTTTGCAAATATATAATGTTAATATTATTAAATTATATCATTTAAAAAGAAAAATATTTTTAACATGAATATATGTTTAAATCCACAAAAAATTAATTATTTTATTATTTGCTTTGCAACGCGGTTTTTCTTAGTGCCAAATTATGATGAAGCGGCGTGCGTAGCAATAGGAATATGTCTCAAGTCGGCGCACACTTGCCACTTCTGCGTACAAAACGTGCTGTTTTAGTGATAGTTGGGATTCACAAGGTGTTGCATAGTAGTTACTGCACCTTTTCTTTCGTTAAAATTGGCAAATGTATGTGATTCGGTAGTAAGTAAATAATTTTTATCTTTTTCTTTGTGTGCCGCCAAATTTTGAAATCGTTAAATATGTGCCGCAACAAAAAAAAGGTTGAGAATCACTGGCTTAGCCAGTCGACAGCGAAGCAAATACATTACAGTTTTAATGATCGGGTCTTCCAAGACTTCAAGCGAATGTAGACAAAAGTTTTTATCGCTACGGTGTCTATGTGATCACGAGCTGCCCGTGTTGTAACATAATATATATTTTTACTGGTGGTAGGACCTCTTGTGAGTCCGCGCGGGTAGGCCCTGCCTATTTCTGCCGTGAAGCAGTAATGCGTTTTGATTTGAAGGGTGGGGCAGCCGTTGTAACTATACTTGAGACCTTAGAACTTATATCTCAAGATGGGTGGCGCACTTACGTTGTAGGTCACTATGGGCTCCAGTGACTACTTAGCATCAGGTGGGCTGTGAGCTCGTCCACCCATATAAGCAACAAAAAAATAATAATATTAAAGCGAATTATTATTACACAGCTTTTCACAGCGAAGTCGCAAACAAGCAGCTTTTTTTTTAAATAATGACGGCTCTCCAATTTCTTAAGCCTATACTCATGATTATTTTGCGGTAAACATTTTCTAGATTGCAATACCTACCCGTGTCGGCACCACAGCTCGCACAACTCGAGAATTAAACTAATAAAATAAAATTGTATTTTTTTCCTATCACACAATTGAAATCATTCAGCGGGGAAATCGTTCGCCAACATGCCTTAGGTATCTTTATACACCTGAAGTCATATCGACGGCAACTTCTTAGAATAATGAAATGAAGCCTACCAATACTTGGGAATGATTTAAATTCGGCATTTTCCTTGTTAAGAGGCTTTCAATAACAATAACTGACCTCCCAAATGTAAAGTGGTTAGTTTTTAATGTTCATGTTTACCCCAACAAATATACCTACCTACTGTAATATTTCTAAACTACTCTTAACAGTAACTATACATAAGTAATAAAAGAAGTGTGGGCACATTACCCTGATTCAAATCTTTATGGAAAATGGTTTGCGCTGTTTATAGCACAGGAATCATAATTTGTTGTAATAATTTTGAAATGATAAAAATGAAATAAATTCGTGTCCATTTAGCGAAAAAAATGCCTCTTACTTAAGACGATTTTTATATGCAAGTTTATTAAAAACGCTGTCTTAACTATATTTTTATAATTATTTTCCTAGAAGTATTTAATTTTCGTTCTAGAATGTATGAATATGTTGTCTAATTTAAAAAAAAAATATTGCGATGCTCATCAATGGAGCGTGAATTATTGGTCGAGTAGTGGTCGTTTGAGTCGGTCGGGGGCATGCCACGTCGCGACCCCTTCGTGTTTGTTTGTGCACCTTTTGATGATCGATACTGTGTTACTAATTTGTGGGGTCATTAATAAAAAGCACATGTTAACTTCATCTGTATCAATTTTTGCTGAGAAACCTTCGTAATCTGTTATAATCAAAATATGATAGACTTTTTGTTAAGCAAACTAACAATCATGATGTTCTAGAAAGATCTTTGATGTTTTAGAAATTTTCTTGGCGGGAATCCTTGTCTTGCCAAATGAAAAAATTACTACAACGAAAAAGAAACCAGTCAAATCGGTCGAGCCACTATGAACTGATGCTCTTGTTATATAATGGGTTAATTAATTTAAAAAAAAACTGATAAAAATGTAACCGTTTATTGCGAAGTACAATGATACACTGTCTTCATTATGAAGAGCAACCTATTTTATTAAACGACTCCATACAATGAGGAGATAAAGTGTAGATACGACATTTAATATTTGACACAGAGTACATTAGGGCAAAGATTAAACATTTGAGAGTTATGTGCCTACGCCACTCTTTTGTATATGTGGCAATTGAATTTTATATGATATATTATCATCATCATCATCATTATCATTATCAGTCAATAGTCGTCCACTGCTGAACATAGGCAGCTCCTAATTTACACCACTGAACCCGGTCTGCCCGTCTCCTCATCCAAATTTTACCGGCCATCGTTCGGAGGTGATCGCACCACCTAGCAAAAACAAAAATAGTATATAGACTTTTTCATATGAGATTGTGCCCTCTGATCTGACAACGCTACGACAATAACGGAACTAATATGAATAATTTTCAGTAATTTAAATAATGAAATGCTAGCTTATTTTTATGCAAAATATTTTCACGCTACAATTTATTATAACTCTCCTACAGAATATAGCGTGCGGAAAACCCATTATGTACACATTTTACAATTTTATCTTCTCATTCAATTGGTCCAGGTGTGATAATATTCTCACGGTAGCATCGCGTGACCAAATTCCCGTATCCCGTGGGATCTGTGAAACAAATGACGTGATGTCATTTTATTTTTCCCGTTTTATTGATTATCTTTAAATGAAATTCGTTAGCAATGTTAAAAGGGTGCCCGTTTTGCATGATGGGAGAATTTCATGCTTTTAAGTTCACATAGAACCCAAATTGTGCTTTGAAACGAACTCATCCTACCATTTATAATATAAAACATTTGAATAAACTCAACCAATCAATAAAATATGTAACTTCAAAAATATTTCTGAAATGTGCTTATTGTTTTTTAGCTTATTCTGAGTGCCTACCTAGTTACTTTATTTTGCGCATAATAGAATAAAAATTCATGAAATCCAAGCAATTCGTAATTTAGCAAAAGGCCAGTGCAACAATATACGGAATTGCCGGTAAGAGCTGTTTTTTGTATGAAAACGAATTCATGGCTGAATATCGTTTTTTATTTACACCTTTTTAAGGAACAGTGTCACTGTATCCACTCCCTTTAGATGGGCCGTATCGTATACCCGTAAACAATCGAAGGCAAAAAAATGTATAAAATGTATGATCTTAATATACGTATATAGGTACGATTGAGTTTGGAAAACGTCGGGGAAAACATTACATTTTGATTAAATAAAGAACGCTTAATTTTCTCATTTTAGATGAAGTACTGGATGTACCTGTTATATTCCTGTCAATCGTTTCTTAAACATTTCAGACTTTATTGTATCATGTCAAAAATAATATTGGGTAATAGGTAAATAACTTTATTTGAAGATTTATCATTTAACTCGTTACGCGAATTAAATACTCGTAAAATCGATTTTGCTATAAATGCCGCTTTAAGCGTTTTGTAGCCCCAGGCAGCGTCGTGCTCCACATTTGTATAGTGCACTTGTGTCGACAATATGCTCCTAAAAGTGTAAACAAGGGCGCATATTTGCGAATCACGCCGTAGCAAATTGAAAGATCACCCTCTAACATAATAATAGAGGCGGACTGTATTAGAATACTATTAAGCTCTCAACACCCCTTTAATGTAGTAATTTCAGAATAAAGGGCGAAGTGTGAAGAACCCAAAAATATCGATTGTGTCTAAAATAAAACAAGGAATCAGGAATTTACATCGGCATCTCTCATTTTGTTGTTTTGAGCACGTCTTGAAAATACTACGAAAGGCAATTAAAAATAATATAAGAAAACCCAATGTATTATTAATTAAAAAAAATATACAAAAAATAATGATCTTCTCCGTGATAGATTTTTCGCAACGCAAAAAAGTTTTGTTTAAAAAAACATTATAGACCAAAGTTAATTAGTTTTTTATCGTTGCCCGCAATAATATTGGGTATTGATAATAAGCTCTCCATCGAAACGAGTGTTTGCACAATAATCTCTTTTTCAATTATTAAAAAGCACCTTATCGAAACATTACGTTGGATTTACATAAAGATTAGCGCACGTGCGCCGCTAGCGGGGGAATGTTTACAATGTTGTTCAAAAAATAAACAAAAGATTTATCAAGCGGAATAATCGAAATTATTAGGTTTATATTTAAAAAAATAAATAAATATCTTTAGAAAAAAACTCATTTTAAGACCTGATTTTGATAGATTATATGTCAAAGTAAAATGTCTTTCGTTAAATTGTGACAACCGTGGCGAACAAACAGGACATTTCTGTACATACGCAAAGAATTTTCAATTTTAAAAGACCAAAATATTTTAGAACCTTTATTCATTTATAAAGTCAAGATGCCAATTAAGTTATTGCTAGCACGTCAAATTTTTGACTCCACTGGTGTCCCTACAGTCGAAGTAGATATGGTGACAGAATTAGGTCTATTTCGAATAGGTGTACCTTCCACGGACTCCAAAAAAATAGCTGAAGCAACACAACTGCGGGATAACAATCCTGCTCAATACTTTGGAATGGGTGTTTCTAGTGCTATCAAAAATATTAACGTCATTATTGCACCTGAACTTATCAAACAAAACCTTGAAGTGACAATGCAAAAGGAAATTGATCAATTCTTGATATCTCTCGATGGAACTGAAAACCGATCTAGACTAGGAGCTAATGCGATTCTTTGTGTTTCTCTGGTAGTTGCAAAAGCTGGAGCTGCGAAGAAAGGTGTACCTTTGTATAGGCACATATCGGATATGGCAGGCGTCACTACAATAATTCTGCCAGTACCACACTTTACTATTCTCACTGGTGGAATTTTATCTTCAAATGGACTGCCGTTTCAAGAATACATAATTATGCCTACAGGAGCATCTTCGTTTGCAGATGCGATGCGTATTGGTTCAGAAATTTATCGTTATGTGAAAAACGCGATTGCGAATAAGTTTTCTGTAGACTGCACGTATGTTAGTGATTCCGGAGGATTTTCTGTGCCCTTGCAAAGTCATCGGGACGCTCTTATGTTTCTTACAGATGCTATTAAGCAATGTGGGTATGTTGGCAAAGCTGAAATTGCAATAAATGCTGCCGCCAGTGACATGTTCAAAGATGGTGCCTACGATTTGGAGTTTAAAAATCCGAATTCAAATCCTCAGGAATATATGTCGTCGGATAAACTTGCCGAAATTTATCTAGATAATATAAAAGAGTTTCCAGTATGTTCTATTGAAGACGGTTTCCAATTTGATGATTGGTCGGCGTGGTCTACTTTGACCTCTCGAACGCAGGCTCAGATTTTTGGAAATGACCTTACTCAAACTAATCTCCGCCGTGTTGGATTGGCCACAGAAAAAAAAGCGGGAAATGCGATTGGCTTAAGACTAAATCAAGCTGGCACGTTTACCGAAGTTATTGAAGCTTTTAAACTTTTGAAGTCAAATGGTTTTGCTTCTGTTGTTGTTGATAGGTGGGGTGACACTGAAGATGTGTTCCTAGCCGATCTGGCGGTTGGTTTGTCTACTGGTCAGATGAAATGCGGAGCACCTGTTCGATCTGAACGCGTCGGAAAATACAATCAAATCATTAGAATTGAAGAAGAATTAGGAGCGCTTTCCAAATACGCCGGAAAAAACTACCGCGGACTAAATTAATGTTCTTTCGAAGAATCATTAAGGCTTTTTCAAATGTTTTAATAAAATTTCAGTTAATTCACGTTAATATTTTCATTGAAACTTGAATTTTTATATTAAGGATATGTCGCCTTGAATATTTGAACTGAACTGCGTTCGTGATAGCAAAGGCTATTAAATCATTATATGGACAAAATGATATTCAAACTTCCTAACAGAACAATATGACGTACGGACTAATTACAGGAAGTAGGAGTTCATAATACTCATTGTGACATAATATAAACGTGTTATTAATGCACGGGTACAAATTTCATGTTGATGGGGCTCACGTTACAATGATAGGTATCGATAAAATGTGTCATTAAATCAAAGAAGGGATGTTCAAAGACAAAAAATAAAATTCGCGTCGTATATATTATCTATTGAAAGGATTTCTCAATCATTAGTTTTTCACGTATCCTAATCTTGGTTTAGAAGAAATAAATTATATGCATCTCTTAGAACACAAATGTAAGGAAACAAGTAAGTTAATCGACAAGTACAGTTCAACCCTATCTCTGTTTCATCGACAGGGGCCCGTAACTGCGCGCACGTGTTCGGCCCCTTCACATTACACCCCGATAAAGAATAACACCCCGGACTTTACCGCATTTGCGAATAGTTAAAGTAGCCCCCGTATTATTATAATGTACTCCCAGAAATAATTGCTGTTAAATAAACCTCAAGTTTGAGCTGTTTAGGGTGAACAAGTGATTACACAGATGTAATTAAATAGTCGATAGTGTCATTAATAGAACGGCGTAGCTAAAATTCATACTGTAGATATATCGTTTTACTTTTAAATACTGTCTGATATGTTTTGTGAATTTTGTAATTTGAATGTATTATTTCTTCACAATCCTGAGAATATTATGTTTTTAATTCAGTTATTATGCTTGACACATCAAAAGGGTCCGTTATTTATTATAAACTAGCTGACCCGGCAGACTTCGTAGTGCCTCAATCGATAAATAAAAGACCTAAACTTTTGTATAAAATAAACTTAAAACAAACAAAAGGAGTCCGTCCGATGGGGGACACATCAAAGGGAAAACAAAATTGTTATTTTTATTTAATTCCGAGCATTTTAATATTTATCTACCTTTTAAACCTTGTCTGGACTTCCACGAATAATTCAAGACCAAAATTAGCCAAATCGGTCCAGCCGTTCTCGAGTTTTAGCGAGACTAACGAGCAGCAATTCATTTTTAAATAAGGTATATATTATTATGTATAGATAAATAAATAAAATCTAGTTTAACTGCTAGGCAGACTGAAAAATTGATTTGCGAACATTAAACTTTAGACAAACAGGGTTAATAAAAGCTCTTCCTTGCAGGCAGCAACTTCCAGGCGCACTCCTTGTCATGGTCTAGAAGAGACGAGCGACCGGCCGGCTCCACACTTCATGCCAAGATCTGGGTACCAGAGGATCCTAGGGGCTTCACAAGCTCCACAAATGTTATTGAAAAAGAGGAACTGAGATGAAAGACTAGTCTCTCATTAAAAACTATACTCGAGACTATACTTGTAACTATACTTGAGACCTTAGAACTAATATCTCAAGGTGGGTGGCGCATTTACGTTGTGGATGTCTATGGGCTCCAGTAACCACTTAACACCAGGTGGGCTGTGAGCTCGTCCACCAATCTAAGCAATAAAAAATATATAAAAAAATTAAGTTACCTGTTCGATCTCTTTAATAGTAGTAGATTATGTGTATAATGTAAATATAGCCATAATAAGTTTTTATTTCTATATTTATTTGAACCATTCAACTCGCGAAAGATGCTGATGCTCCAAGTAGGACTTATAGGTTATATGGGAATTAGTCTAGCTCAGAGAAAAAATAACCAGATCACTTGATAAAGTTCTGTTATCGAAACAATACCAGAAAATTATTTGACTTGGCTGCTAATGGAAAATGAAAAGTCTGGCTATTCGAGGCCCGTGCGGGATTTCATTGCCTAGTGTTGCAGAGTTGTCGGTGCATTTTACAATGTTTCATCAGCAATATGTACATTATTCACATTTCAAAAAACCTCGTGCTTAAGTTTTTATTACAAATTAGCAGCAAGCAAATCATCATTTTATTTTTAAATTGTACATTTCAGTTATCTTTATCTAAAGATGTTAGTTCAAGTCCGAGCCGTGTACGCAGCGCACAATTAAAAAAAAAGAAGGTTTTACTGTTTTACGGTTTGGCTTGTTTTACTCGTATATACATTCAAGACTACTTAACGATGTCAATATTAAAATATGTCTTGAATAAATCCTCTAGAGTCTAGATTGACGTTGTTTAATAAAATGTATTTTTTTCTTTTGCAGTAGCTATGTGCATTGTATATAATACTACCTATGTATGTACAGAGAGTTATGTATAGCTTAAATTAAATACTTATTTACTAAGTGATATAATGCGTAATAATTAGCTCGCAAGATTACGCTTACCTACCTATATATTTATTAGAGGAATAACAAAATACATATTATATTGTAGCGCCTTTTTGACGCATTGGGATCGTTAACCGATGTCGTGTATATTCTAATCCAAAGATTAAATAACTAAACTATGATACGGGTAATGAAGAAATAATTAGAATTAGCTAATAAAGTCAAGATATTGCATATATATTTAAAGCATTTATGTTGTTACCGCAACGCAATTCTTGTAAAATTTGGAGCGCGCTCTTGAACTTTGACGTCATTGTATAAATTAGTGCGCTCTATCTATCTAGTGTCTGTACTAATCAGAACGTTTTTAATTTCATCGTTCCTAAACATATTTTTGCTTTTGTAGTTAGCTATTATATTTTAACACAATAATTTTACTGATCATACGGCAGATTAGTTCTAGTCTTCGTATCATAGGCTATAGTAATATTTAAGTATACTTTAAACTATTTTATATTTAGTATTTTTTTAAATAAAAAAAAGTTCAGTTGAAAACTTTAATTTATTTTAATATTAAGTTTTTTTTTTCCTTACCTATTCGTTGGCAGCCTAAGGGGCTATTCTAGCTACGCTATGGCTGGTAGGTGAGCATAGTGGGCACAGTCTGAGATCGTTTGCTAACACTGTCCCTAGTAAGAGCAGTGCTTCGCAGAAACTACCACTGGATCGGAATCGCGACCCACTGAGACTAAGTTTCGGTGAGAAAATTTTTTTTTTTTTTTTTTTCTTTGATGGATGAGCTCACAGCCCACCTGGTGTTAAGTGTAATCTACAACGTAAATGCGCCACCCACCCTGAGATATAAGTTCTAAGGTCTCAGTATAGTTACAACGGCTGCCCCACCCTTTAAACGAAATGCATTACTGCTTCACGGCAGAAATAGGCAGGGCGGTGGTACCTACCCGCGCGGACTCACAAGAGGTCCTATCACCAGTAATTACGCAAATTATAATTTTGCGGGTTTCACTTTTACTATACGATGTTATTCCTTCACCGTAGAAGTCAATCGTGAACATTTGTGGGTTGTGTTTATGGATTAGTTTGCTCGTAGGACTCTTCGTCGTAATCGATGAGTTGGACGAGGATAGTGACCGGACTGGAAAACAGATCAAAGCTTCTAGCTGAAGCAGAACCTTGCCAACGCCTTTGAGTTCAACGTTGAATTGAGTTCAAACAATGAGTTCAACACTTACCATTTTTACGTTGACTTCAATGATACATATGTACACAGAAATTTTCTGCGCCAGGTCGCTATATAGATTAGTATCTCATCAAAGCTCGTGCGCCCGACAGAGAAAACGACCAAATATCAAATACGATCATCGACCAAATAGTATGATTAACGTCGTTAAGACTGTGCTGATTGTGCTGCGAATGTAGGAGGCTAGGATATCCAAACGCCTAATGGAAGGCCAGCCAGAAGACCCTACAAGTATAAAGGCCTAAGCTCAGATTTCTGGACGGTGTCCAACCGCCAAGAGCAAAGGGATGGTATTTTCTATTGCTTAAATGGGTGGACGAGCTCACAGCCCACCTGGTGTTAAGTGGTCACTGGAGCCCATAGACGTCTATAACTTAAATGCGCCACCCACTTTGAGATATAAGTTCTAAGGTCTCAAGTATAGTTAAAACGGCTGCCCCACCCTTCAAACCGAAACGCATTACTGCGTCAAGGCAGAAATAGGCAGGGCGGTGGTACCTACCCGTGCAGACTCACAAGAGGTCCTACCACCAGTAATATGGAAGAAAAGTAATTTGGAGGAAAAAAAAGCCATAAATAGATCGGACTGAAGAGATTCTTTGGACTCATGGCTAATACCCACCCGCGGCTGCAATACCTCAGATCATCAAGATTGATTTAAAGGTATTGTTTTGTAAACTTGATACGGTAGTTTTAAAACTTCAGAAGCAATGTTGAAGGTGAATTATTGTTTAGTGTTTTGTGGCTATCCAAATCTCTAAACATAAACAATGTGAATGCTGTCACTCATTGGCAGGAGATGATGACAACCATTCTTGCGGTCGTACGTCCTACGTAATGGCGTTAAGCTTGCAAATTTGAAATTATTACATAAATGTAACAATCCTTCATCGCCGCTGTTGTTTGCGAACACGTGTTGGATATGAGCCTCACTTAATAGGAGTTGGATCGTGAGTTCCTTCACCAATCTAGTGCTATAGACAAAACCTGCCTCCTGGTAGGGTAGAAAATGAGCATGGATTAGGAGCAAGTCCTACTTACTTCTAGAAGAATATAAAGGGGAAGATAGAAGGGGAGGGTTATAGCTGTTATTTCAATACAACTGAAATTAAGATGTGTTAGAGATCACATTAATGTTACGGAGATTATGGTTCAGAAAACCACTTAAAGCTAGAGCGTGCATTCGAAATAGTTAAATTTTATACAATATATCTGACGCTGGTAAAAATTCTAGAACATTCCTTCAAAATTCTATACGTTTCTGTACCTATTGAACAAGAGTAGACAGTCAAGTAAAAACTTCGACTCAGTTGTCGATAAGCGGAATTTTTATTCTATAGC